GGGAGGTTAAAGTCTTATTGTTGCAACAAATGCTATCCAAAAAGTTCTATTACTGAAAGATATTTAGTAGAAGAATGTATGACATTTTATTCTCATTATTTAAAAGATATTGAAACGAGATTTAATAGACTATCGAGAAATGTTAGTATGCAGCATACTGACTCTGCCTACAGTTATATTTTTCAAAGTTTTGGACAACCAATAGGCAAAGCTGAAATAGTGGAGTTAAATGATAAATCTTAGGCACAAGCACATCGATATGTTCTTTTTCATCATGACTCTATTAAATCATTTCGCACATAAGTTTTTTAGCAAGGAAATTATTCATTACGTTAAGCATAATTTATTGTATTTTTTTTATTGTTAATACTTTATCATGATGCTTTGTAGTGAGAATAGAAATAATTTGAAAGTTCCTACACATTATCGATGATCAAATCCTCGAGAGCTTAATAAGTTGTTAACTGAAAACTTTCATGAATGGTTAGGAGCAATTGTAAGTAATGTCATACTTCCTATTATGAGAAATCTACATAGAATGCTTATGGTATAACTAACATTAATAACATATATAATTATTTCACTTTTATAAGTTTGGAGTAGAATGCTTGTTAGTGAAGAGGTGAAGTATCTTTCACAAGGTCCAAATAGAATTACGAAATGATACAAAGGTTTCATCATCAATGGATTTAAATTTCACACTAAATCTTGTGAAAAATTTAGAAGTACATAAAATTCAAGGGTTATTGTTACTTCATCAACTATAGCTATGCTAGTGCTAGGGATACAAACCTTTTAAAGGAAAATGTTGACTATTATGGCATAATTAATGACATCATTGAGTTGGATTATTATGGTAAGTGAAAAATTATTTTATTTCGGTGTGATTGGGCTAATGTGAATAGTGCGAGGGGTATTAAAAAATATCAATATGGATTTACACTTGTTAATTTTTCTCGATTAATTCACACTAAACAACAACTCATCAATGAACCTTATGTTTTTTCATCTCAAGTCAAACAAGTTTTTTATTCTGAAGATCCCAAAGAATTGGGTTGGTTTGTTGTTTTTCGAAACACACCTCGAGACTTATTTGATATGGGGTTAGATACAATAGATGATATTGAACATGGAACTAAATGTTATCCTTTTGTTGACTAAACTTGGATGAAAATATCTTCAGTACCTACACTCAGTGAGTTTGTGAAAATGTTAATGAAGACATTTATGAACCATGATGGATTATCTATATTTTGTAATTCGAGTGTGTAAGACATAATGTAGTAAATGATTGTATGTAATTAATGTCCCATTCGCTATTGTATATTTATTATATTGTAAATCATAAATTATCTTTTGATTTAATTAAATTGATATGTTCTTTATATATCGTAGGTTATGATTTCTTAACTTCTCAATGTCTTTATATATGTTCTAAACTAATATCTTTTATATATTTGCTTTTATGATGTAAGTAAGCTATAATGCAGAGGAGTAGATTGAAAAGAATACATATCAGAGATATTAGTTCAGAACCTTCTGTGGCACCTGCTGATATTAACTATGGACTGAATCCTTTGAAAGCGAATGAACGTACTGTCGAATTCAACTCAGTCACTTCTAACCCTTCAATTGATATTGGATCTAGTAATACGGGAGGTCCAGGTTTAGATAGTATCCCGTTAATTGATTATGCTTTAAATTTGAATGTAGGTATCATATACCCCATATTTACAATGCAATTATAATGATAAAAGTATTGCCATTTTACAAATTTATTTTTTATTTTTTATAGTTGATAACAATGGTTAATGGAAGACTAGAGGTTAGACAACTTTGAAGGAATTGTTTGCACTACCTTTGAACGAGCGTATTATAGTGTCTACAAACTCTAATAAGCAACCAATTGGTGAAGAGGCTCAACTGTTGGCTGGATTTCTAGGCATGCTTGCCCGTAATGGAATGAAATTGCCTATTCATTATGAAACATAACATAAAGTTCCAGTAGAAGTTAAAGTCGATGCTTTAAACTTTATTGAGGTATTAGTATAATTAATTACATATAAAAAAATTTAATTATTTTAAATTTGGTTAATTGATTAAAACTTTTCTTTTTGTATTATTACAGTTAAGATTTGTTCTTGAAATACCAACTTCATTTGTGTTTAAGTCATTGGGAAAGAAATAGAAAGATTATAAGCATAATTTGAAGAATAAGTATTTCAATCGAAATACTACTATGAGGCGACGATGAAAAATCTATCTCGTAATGTGATTAAGTGACAATATGAATAATTAGTTAGATTTTGGTTTTCAAGAAAACGAGAGTTACTAATTTATAACTTTGTATAGTACAATGAACTAATGAAAGTGTTTTATGCTTTAAGTTGGTAACATTTGTATTTCTACCATATACGTAATTATTATGTATGATAGGAAAGAGAACAGATTGAGATTGGTAGCAGAAAGCAACATAAATATAGCCATACAAATGGATCAAAAAGTTTTGCAAGAAAGCAAAAAGAAATAGTAAGTTTATGATTTTAAACTTATTCCAATGAATGAACTTTTTATGCCGTTAAAAGGTAAATATGCAAATTAATAGTTATTATTCTATTTTAATAGTTTTGATAGTTTCAATACATGATATTAAACTTATCGAAAGTTTTAAACTTAGTTGACATAAATGATATGTACAAAAAAGTTATTGTTTATGTCTATTTAGGTAAAAGTACAAAATTGTTGTTATTGTTCTATTTAAATAGTTTGAATAGCTTCAATACTTGATATTAAACTTGTTCAATTGATTAAACTTAGTTTCTATGATTGATATGGGTGAAAAAGTTATCGTTTATATCGATTTGAGACTATTTTTGCCTTGAAAAAGCACAAATACAAATTAAAACTTTTGGATGGCTTTCAACAGTTTGAATGGCTTCAATCCATGATATTAAACTTGTCCAAATAATTGAATTTGGTTGCCATGATCAATATGTGTGAAAGGCCAAAATATTTTTATTGTTTGCATCTGTTTAAGACTATTGTGTTGTTAAGAGGCCAAAATATAAATATATGATATTAAAATTATTCAAAACTATTGAACTTGATTGACAGGCTTGATATGCATGAATAAGTTGCGGTTGATATGTATCCTATCAAATAACATATATTTTTGTATATGAGATTGAGATGGGCGATAAAATTAAACGTGTAGAACTTTTTCGCTTAACACACATAAAAAGATGGATATTACATGAATGTCGAAACACAAGAAATTGTGATAACTTGTAACATCTATTTTAACAAAAAGTAAATATTTACTCTTTTTAACATATTATCAATTAATCATTAAACATGATAGTTGTATATGACTAATTTACAAGAGACAGCGAAAGAGAAAATGGCTGTTGAGATTGAAGTAGCATATGATAGTTCTCTTAACATACAAGAATTGAAAAATCATATATTCATAGAAGTTACTGGAAAAGAAAGGCATGGATGGGTCTATGGCCTTGGATTGGGTCCAACACTATCTACCTAGTATGGACGTAGCTCTCAGCAATTTACATTCTCAGCAAGTCAACCTTTGCGAGATATTTTGCTATGGAGAGAGGAGTTGCAAACTATGCAACAATGTTTCCAGCAAATGGAAGCAAAAAGAGAATAGAAGCGTGCCAAAATTGAGGAAAAACATGTTAGAATGGAGCAAGAGTGTGTAAAATTTCATCAGTTGTATGATCGATTCGATCATCTTATGAATTTTGTGCAATAACAATTATTAGGAACTTATCTTGGTGGTCCACCAACTCAAATATTATATTTAGTAAATATTTATATTTTTTAATATCAAAAAAACTTACAATGAAATGTTAAAAATTGTATGTTATTATTCAATAGATTCTTGAGCACAATAGTGACCAAGGTGAAAAAATTCCTTTATCAATTAATAGCCTTAAAATCTATATAGTCATCAATTTCATACATTTTTATTTTTATTTTGTTCATATATTAAAAATATTTGAATGTTATTATACTAATTATTAAACTTTGTGTTAATTAGATGTATATTTAAACGTGAATTAAGTTTATATTAATTTCAGTTTTTGAATTTAAGATCGTTTATGAAAATAATAAATATTAACAAAATTTTTTTATTTAAAAAAAATACATTTCTTAATTTCGCGGCATTTGCATTAAAAAAAATGTTGCTAAATGAATTATTTTGTGGTGTTTGTACCATAAAACACCACTCAAAGTAGCAGTGGTCTTATTAGAAAACGTGCTAAATTAGCAGCATTTTTCTGATTTAAACACTATCAAAGTAATGGCATTTTTTTGATAAAAATGTCACTAAATTAGTGGCGTCTCAAAGATACAAACGCTACTAAAATAATGACATTTTTTAGATATAACACTGCTAATATAGCGGCATTTTCTAGATTCAAACGACGCTAATATAATAGCATTTTATAGAAAACGCCGTTAATATAGTGACGTTTTATAGAAAACACCATTATTTTCCATGATGCATATATAGCCGACACTCTGACTGGCATTTTTCGCAAACGCTGTAAATCTTTTAGTGACGTTTATAAACGCTACTAAATGTTAAAAAAAAATGCCACTAAAAATTAAAACCACTGTAGTGTGCATCTGAACAGCATGGGAATCTCCATATGTTGGCTTTGAATTATATATATAAGCACAGAATTTGCTAGAGAAATCAAAGCCAATTATCTTGTGGTCGTTACTAACTCTCATATCCTGATGCCTGAAGAGAGAACAAGGAGATTGACAAGGGCGAAAAATCTGAGTTGTATATAGGCCATCAATTTGAAACACGTGCACCAAATTAATTACTATTGATCGTGTTAAATACACAGTCAAAAAAATTTTCCACATAATGTAATTAGACCCAAACTTGAAATAAACTGATTTATGGTTTTAATTTAAACTTTCTTCTGACAATCAACGATCAATACATGTGAAACTTATGCATCTTAAATACGTCTTCTACAAACCGGGCATGTCAGATGATTCTTGAGCCAGTTATCAATGCAACTCAAATGAAACATGTGTTTACACTCTGGAAAAACTCGACATGATTCACCAACCACATAATCATCCAAGCATATGGTGCAGTTTTTAGATTCAAAAGAATTTTTATCACCCCCATAAATCATTGGCGGTAATAGTTTCTCTAAGGTTTGCTGGCTTATCATTTCTCTGTCATCTGTGCTCTGTGGAGACCCTTCTATCATATCCAAAGGTTGCAAATAGTTAGGGATTATTGCTTGGTAGGTCAACATCCGGACTCGATGAATTCCTCTTTGTAGCAGATCAGAAATGAACTCCTCAAATACATGCCAGCAAAGGCATTCGCAGATAATGTAGATGATCAAGGTGATGAATGATGTAGCAATGATGCAGGCTCCAATCAGGCAGGATAACAAGAGAATGACAATGCCAATAGCAGTAACAAAAGAAAGAACAAGAGGGTAATCTAAAGAATGGATGGCAAAGTTTAGAGGCATCATGTTCATTGATATCTGATTTTTGCATGAACTAGGACTTCATCATGACCCTGCATAATTTCCTCTTTTAAGTTATTAGAAATCTTGTAAAAGGTTGGTTTGAGTTCCAATTTTAGGAATTTGGTTACAAACCTGCTCCCTTTTATTTGGGAAAATTAAACCAGGTGTTTTGGAAGGTTTATCTGCCAAATCATTTTCATACATAATAGAAAAAAGAAGCTGTAAATCAAATTCTTTACCCAAAGATGTTTGCTGAGCAGAGCTGGCATCAGCTTTTTCCAGCTATATTATTCATATTGACATAATTGAAGGTCTCTTTTAACTAATTTTCTTGCAACATATTGATAGATTTCACAATTTTAAATACAACACATTTACATAATAAAATATTAAAAAAGATACAAAAATAATATGATTTAAAATTTTAATAAAAAATATATGTTTGATAAAAAGAAAGTTTTGTGTTTGACATATTGACACAATTATAACCTATTGATTTTCATGTTTTATTCGTATTTAAAACATGAATTAAACATATATGAATACATAAATTATCATATTTATATATTTAAAAGATAATGCATTACATAGTCATAGTACATGACAAAATATAATAAATTCCTATCATCATCTATTTTTTGGCTTAGAAAATCGTAATCAATGAAAATTTTCAATTTTAGACATTTTAAGGGTCGTTCCAGCTATTGAAAACAACCCACTCTGGTCCAATGATTGTTAGTTCTTGTTACAATTAATTAAGCTTTTGATACTTAAATTTTGAAAAAAAATATATAAATTGATATCTAATTAAATAAAATATATAATTTGTATCTTGAACTTTTATAAAATGTATAATTTGTATTTTGAATTTTCAAATTATATATCGTAATAAATCAAACTCTAATCCTACTAACTATATCAATTTATATATATAGCATTAGACAAATATTTATTAAAATATGTATTCACAAAAAATACTATCAATATTTTTTAATAAAAAGGATTTAAAAAATAGATTTTATACCTAAATTGTAAAAATTATTTAGGATCGGTGAACTATTATTTGTCACATCATATTCATATGATATTTTTGTAAAATATTTAACAATTTATTTTTAAAAATATTATATTGATTAGATATCATATAAAATAGTTAAATTAATAATATTAAATTTTAGATTAAAATTATACATTATTTGTAAATTTAATGTACATATTATACATTTTATTTTTTTAGATATTACTATATACAGTTTTTCAAAATTCAAATACTAAAAGTGTAATTAACTATTCTTGTTATTATGCATAAAGCCAGTCCAATTTATTTACATCAAAATGAAGAATGCATGTGATTTTTTCTCTTTAATTCCCTTCATAGTTAACATATAAAGCTTAAATTCAACTTCAGATAGTAAATTTTCCCATCGTTCTAGCACAAAGTCGTTGTCGGTTTCCTCAGGTCCTCAAATACTATATTAAAGGGTTAACAAAGCCCACGTTAGTTAAATTGGGTTATCCCTAGGTTCTCTCTAGGTCTTTTCATGATAGGTGTATTATGCTTACGATTATGGCTACATATAAAATCCATGTAACGTAATAGATTTGTTGTTTGTACAGTTGAAAGGAAGTATTACAATGGCAGCTTAATTAGCTCGAACTCATTGAGTTTTGACCTAATTCAATCTTATAGGATCGATTTTTTTTTTTAAATCAAATTTTGGATCGAATAAGATGATAAGAAAAAAAAGTCGAGATTAGATTAGAGTAGGGTTTTAAGCAAACTCACCCTAACTAGACCTGACCTAGAAAATATATATTTTTATTATTTATTTAATTTTATATTTATATATTTTTTATATTTATTTAAGTTTATATTTATATTTAAAAATAATATTTTATATTTAATAAAATAATATTTTATTAATTTCAAGTCTAGTCGGGTATGTTTTATACAATATTAAGTTAGGTCGAGTTCAGATAAAAAATAAAATAAATTTGTCAAGTTAGATTTGAATATTATAAATATAAAATCAAATCAGATTTGAAATAAATAAAAATTTATCCTACTCTGACTCGTTACCATCTCTAATATTACTGTGATAATAAAATCCATATCAATGAAATTGGTGATATCATAAGTACGTAAATATAATAAAGACTTTTTCATCTATTATTAATTGATTTTAAATTGAATTTTCATATTAAAATTTAATGTACTCTACCTTCTACATTGATCTTTTCTTCTTATTCCTCAAATTACCTCATTTTTGGAACTATCATTGCAAAAATGTAAAGAAACCAAGGATGATCTTGCAATGGGATTTTTAATGCCTCCATCATTACAATAATGTATATTTAAAAAATTGGTCCAAACTGAAATCTAGCCTAGTAGTAGTATTAGGACTTCAAAGATACATTCCCCTTTGCCTGCAAATTACCATTGTGATATAAATCCATGGATGAAGAAATGGCCTAAATTTTTGCATTATGTTGAAATCTGATTGCTAAATAGGGCAGAGCTTTGAATATTAGTTAAGGATAAAAAATAGAACCTCTTCTCTACCCTTGACACTACTTGATGAGATTCTGCAATTTTTCATGGAAAAATAAAGAAAAATTGTAGAACAAAAAAGAAACTATAATTTATGTACATTGTCATACATCTACTATACAATTTCGACAAATTGGACAAGTTATATGATTTCTTAACCAGTTATCTATGCAATTGAAATGAAAAACACATTTACAAACAGGAAAAACTCGGCATAATTCATCATCTTCAAAATCATCCATGGAAATGACACATTCATCTAATGTTTTTCCAAGGCTTTTGTAATTTACAAGAGGTAGACCTTTCTCCAAGTCCTCCGGACTTAACCCTTGTTTGTCTGCTAAGAATGCCACGAATTGATTCAATGTTTCCAACAACCATATATTGTCATTCACGGTAGCTTCGAGACTAATCCAGATTATTGGTCAGGGGTCGATTATTAGCTATGTCTCATGATTTAATATCTTGCTCGAACATCTCGTTTAAGAGCCAAGTATGGAATCTATCAAGAATTTGATAGAAGAGGAAGAAGAGCATCAACATGATAAGGCAAACGAAGTTTGAAAGTTATGAATATTATAAGTAACATTTGGAAGTGTTGCTCCTGATTCTTCGAGGGAAGGTTTTTAAGAAAACAATGAATGAAACATTGGCGACAACTTGAAGTTTTGATTATCATTGTCATAACATATAAATCCGTTGACCTACCATTAGATCTAGAATAGAAATGAGTTGCCACCAATTTTTTTATCTAGGTGTGATTAGCCACCTAATTGAATCTGATCTGCAAAATAAATATTAGGTTCAGGAGTTGGTTACGTATGAAAAAGGTTATAGAACTCCTAAAATACCCATCCAAGGGATGGTACCAGTTTGATTTCGAATTATCCTAGCCTTGCTCATTTTTACCAAATAAGTTATGAATTTTATCAGAACAGTAAATCTTTTTAAAAATTTTATTTATTTGTTTATTACTTTGGGAACATGATTTTCAAGAATTCTTTTTTGAAAATTTTCCTCTCTTTTTTTTTTTGAAATAATTTTTTTAAAAAGGATATCAATGGTATAAATAATTTTCTTGGTTTTTTTTTTAGAAAATAATATAAAAAGAAACAAAAAAAAAGATTAGAAATAAAATAAAATAAAATAAAATTAGAAAATAAAATAAAATTGGAAAAAAGAAAACCTGCGATCAGGTTGGGTCAGGATCAACCATGGATCTTGGCTTACCAAAATGACATCATGTTGATGCAGTATATAAGGCACCTTCCAGCGTTTTGCTTCAGAATTCCTTCTGCCTTCTCTCTCTCTAGACCGAGAAACTCTGCCCTCTTCCTAGGATTTTTCAAACCACCTGTCAAAAACTTCAATCGAAAATTGGGACTTCTATCAGTTTTTGAAAAAGTCATTGAAAAATTCAACCAAAAACTGAGAACTTACCGGTTTCTAGAAAATCAGCTGGAACTCCACTGAAAAATTCAAATGAAAAATTCATCTTTCACCGAAAACTTCATCTCAAACCCAGAAAAACCTAAAAAACCCAGATTTCTTTGAATTTTCCCTAGGTCTCTCCAATTTTAGTCCTAATCACTCCCAGAACCTCCCAGAAACACCCTGAATCCTAATCCTAGCCCATAAATTTAAAAATCAAGCCTACAAACTGATATTGAAATCTAGAACCCAAAATCAAACTGTCGGAACCCCTTTTTGCTAGAACTCCCCCAAAATTTTCACTAATTCTTTTTTTGTTTCTTCTCTGTGTGTTCTTTGCTCTGTAGAATAAGTCCAATTTATAGGCAACCTAGAATTAATTCAAGAAATGGACAGAATCAATCTCAGGCTTGATTCTTGGGATTGTATTTTGTCTAGACGAGATTTTAAGTCAAGAATTTCAGCAGTATTAATTTATTCTATGTTGACCCAAAAATATTATAATCCTGATCTTCATTCACATGCAGATTGAGCAGAAAAGGAAACATAAGAAAATAAAATAAAATAAAATAATAATAGTAGTAGTAGTAATAATAATAATAATAATAATAATAATAATAACAATAAAAAATCTAATTGGACCAAATGGGCCATAATGGGCCCAATTGGGCTCGAACAAAATGAGCTCTAATGGGTCGAGTTAGGCCTTGACAAAAATGGGCCTAATTGAGCTCGAACCAAAATGGGTGTCTACAACTGCCTTTATTTGCACATCTTTGTTAAATAAAGATGTTACAAAGACCTAGACACCCACTTCAGTCTCGAATTCAAAAAAAATGACTCGGACTGAACCAAAGTCAGGCGACTAAGACTAACCCACGAGTCAAATGAAGCAACCAAGACCAAGTCGAGGTCAAAATAATGATTAGGATGAAACCACAAATCATGAGAAATGATCTGGATTAGGATGAAACCACGAGTCAAGGTTAAAAATAAATGATCAAGATAGAACCATCAATCA